GCATTCTTACCTTAATCCCCTGGGATGGCCATTGTGAGGCACTGCCCAGGTCCTCCTTCAAGGGAGGGCTCGCTGCCCAGCTGGCTGGGGGTGCTGTCAGCAGCCAAGTTTCAGGCCCTTCAGTATTGTCTTAGCTGCAGAGAGCCACCTGGCCCTTCCGATGGCTGGCTCAGCCCATCTGGGGACAACTCTAGTGCCAGACACCCCCTGGGGTATCAGGGGGACTGAGGCTGTCACAGCTTGACATCTCCCTCTGCCTAAGCCCACTTCCTTTCTCCCCTTAGACAGGAGTTAATCCAAGGGCACTCCTTAAAAACATCCTGGACATTAAACCGTCTCAGAGTCTACTTCCCTGGAACCCCAACCTGCAACACCCCTTTCCCCTAAGGAAGGCCCAGGGAGTCTCTGTTCCTTGCATCTAAAGAGCATAGTTAACACAGCCCCCCAGAGAGTCACCATATTGGGGCTGTGAGGACTACTATCCCCCGCTCACAGCAAACACACAGACAGGGGGACAGGAGAAAGACAAAGCAAATGGGAGAAGCTGCGAAATTGTATGTGTCCGGGGAACACTTGACTCACATTTGGGGGGAAATGCAGCTTGCTTGCTTTCTTGGGGCATTGCTTGGCAGCCCACTCCAGCAGATGGGGAGTGGGTGAGCCGATTAAAGGGGACTCAGTCTCTTCCTGCTTAAAGCAGTCTCCCAGGGCTTCGTTCAGCAGCCCCCCTCCCCGGGAGAAATGCTCAGTCTTTGGGGGCTTCTTCTCTTTTCCTCCTTCCCGGGAGGTCCCAAGCCCAGGGGTTTTCCTGCCTCCATCCGCGCTGCCTCTGCCCCTGACGCGGCATCTGTTGCTGGTGTAACTCAGGCTCTCTCTTCTTGGTTGACCTCCTGACTCTGCAGATTACCTGACATCTGACTGCCACTTTCCTTAAAACCCTGGCTCAGGCAGCCTGCCCTGGGGCCCTCTTCAAAGAGCCAGTTCACCCCTGCACTGGTGACACCCTCACCCCCGCACACTTATCAGCCAACCTCTCAGGACACTTCCGTATCTCCCCCGGGGGCCCGTTAAACTCCATGAACAGGTCATGGGGAACGGGGTGCTCTCGAAGGTCAGGCTGCCTGATCTCTGATCTCTGTGATGGCTTTTTTGATATGTCAACTTGGCTAGGCTACTGTCCCTGGCTACTTACTATACTATATACCATACTATATATTTATACATACGTCGGGTGGTAGGATAAATATTATGAAAAAACAATCGAGCTGTTGAGGCTCTGGATACATAGGGAGGGACATTTAGCACAGAGCCTAGCACACAGTGTTGGGTATTTCTATTAATGTCACTATGTCACCCAAGCCAGCTGGAGACCTCTCTCTGTCACCCACTACATCACATCCACCGCTGCTTATTTTCTATGGAGATTAGCTCTCAAATTCTTCAGCTTTTTATCCCCACTGCCTCTCTGTGAGTCTGGCCCTCATTATCTCTTACCTGGATCATAGTAAACACCTCCCTGCATCCGTCAAATCCATCGACAATGTGATGACAGCAAACTCAAACGTAGCCTTCGCTACGTGCCAGGTGCTTTTCTAAGCACCTTGCAATCCTAGGAAGCAAATACTACTGTTGTCTTCGCCACTTTACAGACGAGGACACTGAGGCACAGAGGGGCTAAGTACAGGACAGCCTGTACCAGACCTCTCTGCCTCCTTCCTGGTCCCTCCCTGCCTCACTTCTGATGAGACTGACACCAACATAGCTTCTAATCCCAGCTCCGCCACGTAGGACCATGAGACTATTGGCAGGTTCCTCCAGTTCTGTCTGAGTCGGCTTGGGCAGCCCTAACAAAACACCATAGGCTGGATGGTTTAAACAACAGACATTTATTTCTCACAGTCCTGGAGGCTGGGAAATCCAAGATCCAGGTGCCAGCAGTGTCAGCTCTTGAGGAGAGCCTCTTCCTAGCCTATCGACAGCCACCTCTTCACTGTGTGCTCACATGGCCTTTCCTCCGTGTGCGAGTGGAGAGAAAGAGACCTCTCATGTCTCTTCCTCTTCTTACAAGAGCATTAATCCCATCATGAGCTCCATCGTCTTGGCCTTATCTAAACCTAATTACCTCCCAAAGGCCCCACCTCCTAATACCATCGCGTTGGGATTTAGGGCTTCAACATGTATATTTTTCAGGGACACAAACATTCAGTCCATAACAAGCTCTCTAGGCCCTTGTTTCCTCATGAGTAAAATGAGGATAATAATCTCTCTCCTGGGGTTGTCATAAGGGCTTCATAACCCAGTAGTAGTTGTGGTTGAGATTATTATTATTGAGACAACACAAGTAAAACATATAGCACCAAGCCTGCCACATAGTAAAGAGCCCATAAATATAGCTATTATTGTTAGTGGCATTACACATTCCTAAAGACTCAGCTCAGATGTCCACAGCCACGTGGATCAGCCCATGCCACCAATGAATCTGGTACACATTACACATCATCACATCTATTTATTTACATGTCTGTTTCCCATTAGAGACCATGAACATCTCAAGATGAGAGGTCAAGATGCCTTGGAAGCCTCTGCACCTGGCCTAGTGCCCAGTACCTGATGGGCACCCACAAAATGCTTGTTGAATAAATGCATGAGCAAATGAAAGAATGAACCATGTCAAGTGAAACACAGACTCCCAAGTGAGAGCCCCCTGGTTTACTCAGCTGGTTACAATATGCATCGGTATACACTCTGGGGACAAGAATTCATACGTTTGCATGAGTTCACAGAGGGCTAGGGGTCAGAGTGGTTTAAATGCTGATGGGTGTTATGGGGTGAATTATGTTCCCCCAAAATTCATACATTGAAGTCCTAACCCCCAGTACCTCAGAATATAACTGTATTTGGAGATAAAGCCTTTAAAGAGGTGATTAAATTACAATGAGGCTGTTAGGATGGGGCCCTGATCCAGTCTGACTAGTGTCCTTATAAGAGGAGGAAATATGGACACAGAGAGAGACATCAGGGATGTGTGTGCACAGAAGGATGACCATGTGAAGACACAGCGAGAAGGCGGCCATCTACAAGGCAAGGAGAGAGGCCTCAGAGGAAACCAAACCCGCCCACACCTTGATTTTGGACTTCTAGCCTCCAGAGCTGTGAGAAAATAAATTTCTGTTGTTTAAGTCACCAGCCTGTGGTATTCTACTATGGTGGCCCAAGCAGACTAATACAGCGGGCCAGTCCCAGACCCTGCCTCCCCTCCCACTTCCATATCTGGAAACCTCCCCCCAACTTCTGTAAACATCTCTCAACCAATTCCAGATATCATTTGATCTTAATTTCAGGACTCTGACATTTTCTTCCACCCATCATCACTATGTCCTTCAAAATGACCTTGTCCTTTTACATTTCCAGAATCCTCTTTTGAAGCATTAATATTCCGCTCAGGAGCAGGTATTGGGCAGCATGGAATGAGAAAAATAGAGCAATACTGAGACTAGCTCAGACAATACTACAGAAGAGTAATTAGCCTGGGGTGGGGGAATTATAAAAATAAACCCAGTGCTTGATCTCCTCCCCTTCCCATATACATCTCACTACAAAATGCTTTCAGATACTTATCTCACTGACCGTCACGACAGCCCAATTACCTCCTCCATTTCTTGGATGAGGAAATTGAGGTTCAGAGAAATGAAGCGATTGTCCAAGGGCCCAGGGCTGGTAGGTAGTGGTGCCGGCACTTGGACCCAGGTCTCCTGACCCCATGCACCATGCAAGGTGCTTCAGAAATATGTCTACACTTTCACTAGAAAAGAGGAGGTTTGCCTGAAGGCACGGATTAACCACCCTCCTTTCTGGAGGCGCAATGATAGTAAGTTACACTCTCTTTCTACTTGCCTGTTATAAATTTTTATTCCCTCCCCAGTGAGCTTGTAATTGTCTTTTTATAAGGCTTGGTTGGGAGGAAGCTTAGAAATTTGGCTCCAGGCCAGAGAGCAGCACATTGCATAAAAGAGAAAATACAAGTTCTAAAATGAGCAAATTAGCTAAAACGAAAGTGGAGATTTTGCATATTCTTTCTGGAGGAAGATAAACAAAATATGTGTAGTACGCAGAAGGGGCCAGTGTTCTAGAAATTATGCAAATTAAATAGAAGTCAGAAATGAACGAGAATTGGTGAAAACTACGAAAATGAATACAGAAACAGTGAGAATTTATCCTGTACAGACACTTGCACAGTTTGTGATGGTTGGTTTGATTGAACTCATTGCAGCAATGTTTGTAGTGGGTCCTTCCGTAGACCCAGGCAAGAGAGGCTTGCACTTTAGAGGACCCCCTCCACACACAAGCACCAGGCAGACCCTGAGCACATACTTCCTCTGCTCTATATCCTGGAAGCAAAAGGCGGCTGCACCTCAAAGGCAGAGAGGTTTGTAGGCTGAGCTGCTGCCAGCACCGAAGATGATATGCTTCCGTGTTCAGGGATGACTGGCATGACAGATACACTTACCTAAGTGCGCTGTCACTCAAATCTTTTCTCTCATAGATTCTTGCATAATAATGATTCCCAGTAGTACAAGTGCCCATCTTCTTGCTCCTTTTCCTGTTCTTGTCCGTGGCTCCAAAAATTAGTACAGGAATTCCTGTAGCTGCAGGAATTACTCACAAATTAACACAGTCTTCCCAATAGCTGCATATGACAGCTAAGAAATATTTTTCTACAGTAAATAGCTCATGTTATTCGTGTATTTGTGCATATGTAGGTCTGGACATAACATATACGAAGCAAAACACAGGTTGTTTACATTGGCCATGAGACAGACATTGAATGCTAGAATTGCAAATAGTTCAATTTTTATAAAATTATTCATTGAATTTAATTACATCTACAAAAATTTTAAAATTTTATTTTTAAATACTGTTGGTTCACAATTTTGAAAGTCATTAATAATTATTTGTGTTTTGCTTTAGGATACTAGATAATGTTAATATTTTAGAAGAAAATACCTTGTTTAAAATATATCTGAAATTTGTTTCAACTCTTTTGTTTTTTACATAATTAAATTCATGTTTTTTATGAAAATACAGTCGATCCTCATTATTCACGGATTCCATATTTGAGAATTCACCTACTTGATAAAATTTATTTGTAACCCTAAAATCAATATCCACAGCAGTTGTGCATTTATTTGAGGACACGTGCAGCATGCCAAAAAATCAGAGTCCCCAGCACACCTGTTTCCAGCTGAGGCTGAACAAGTCGACGCGCTGCCTTCTTCCTTGGGCTCTCATAATGTAAACAAGCGTCCTTTCTGCAGTCTGTTTAGTACCTCATCTTTCTCATCTTTTTTGGTGATTTCACTGTTTGAAATGTCCCCAGGCATGGTGCCGCAGTGCTGTCTGGTGCTCCTAAGCACAAGCGTCTGTGATGTGCCTGACGGAGAAAATGCGTGTGTTAGATGAGCCTTGTTCGGGCATTTTATGGTGCTGTTGGCCCTGTGAGTTCAATGCTAATGAATCAATGATATGTACTAAATAAAGTGTCCCTCAACAGAAACACACAGAAACCAAGCTTACTCGTTGGGCAGCTGACAAAAATGTTGAGACCAGAAGCTCACAGGAACCTAACTCTGTATGTCCCCCAGGAGCAACGTATTTGCTAATTCGGCATCGGTGATCACGTTATAGAACATAACTACCCTGAATAACGAGAATTGATTGTATATCCACTCAGATTTAGTACACTTTGAACATAATTACATTTTATTTTTTAATTGTTTAGATCATTACTATCTACAGAACACAAGTTAAGTGAAAATCTTCATAACGACACAATTAGTAATTATGCTTAAGTGATAGCAAGAAAAAAATTGTTGAATAAATTTCTAATAATTTGTGAATCATACGTCTTTATTTTATTGTTCTTTCAAACATTCCCAACCCATCAGTAGACTTCCCAGACCTGCATAATCCTTATCAAATTCAGTCATCTGGGATATTTTCCCCACTTTCACTCATACAAGAACCATCCCTTTTCATGCTTTTTAAATTGTGTTATGAAATTATATCTGTTATGCAGGAGGATGGAATATATTTTATTTAACAGTATGCTAGCTTGCTTTATAATTTAAATATTTAGACGTCATACGTGAGTCTCCATATATACGCTGTCGTGGGCCCCCAGAATATTAGGGGTAGTAGTTTGTAGTAAAAAACTGCCGAAAACAATATAAATGTAGATCAATGTGGAATTGATTAAGTACAATATGATATGTCATATAATAGAATCTTAGGCAGCCTTTAGTAAGAAAAAGAAAAATAGTGGATGTGAAGACCAATGGCTAGCACTCAAATCCTGGCTCTACCACTTACTAGATGCGTGACCTTGAGTTATTTAACCTCTCTGTGCCACCGTTTTTCCATCTGTAAATAGGGAAGTACTAGCACGTTGCTCATAGGACTCAGAGTCAATACATGTGAAGTGCTCAGAACAGATCACGGACACAGTAATTGTATATAAATTTAGCTATCAGTATTATGTCCATTATTTGCATTGATATGATACAATCTCCAAGATATAGTAAGGGGAAAAAGTAAGGTCCAGAGAGTATAATAATACACTGTCATTTGTGAAAATAAATAAAATAAAATAAATAAATAAAAGAATATATGTATGTGTGTACATATAGGCTTGTATCTCTTGTGTGTGTATACATAATACCAGCATCTCCGAGTGCACAAGAAACTGGCACTAGTGATGGCTTCCAAGAGGGAAATGGGGTTGGAGGTGCTCTTATTTCACCGGCCAAGAGTTTAGGTTTTTTTCACGTCTGTGTCCTCCACTAGACTGTATGATCCTTGAGGACAGGAACCACAGCCTATTAGTCTCTGTGTCACTCACAGGGCATTGCTATGTCCACAGAACAATCTTGGTGGAGTGAAAGAAGACCTAAGTCCTCATATTCTCTATAATCATTTTATTCTTCATTTCATAATCCCAGCTATGGCCCCTATCTCTTCATTGGCACAGAGATTGAAATTTCACAACCCTAGAAACAAAGCCTTATTTGATTTTAGGGGACACACCTTGTGTTAGAGTGACTTTTCAAAGAATTTTATCAATTTAGAGCACTGGTGCCAAAGACTTAATGCTTATGTCCTCCAAAACTCATATGCTGACATTCTAACCCCCAAACTGATGGTATTCGGAGGTGGGGCCTTTGAGAGATGATTAGGTTGTGAGGGTGGAGTCCTCACGAGGGGATTAGTGCCCGTAGAAAAGAAGCCCAGGGAGCTCCATTGCCCCTCCCACCATGTGAGGCCACAATGAGAAGACAGCCGTCTACGAGTGAGGAAGAGGGCCCTTCCCAGACACCGAACCTGTCAGCACCTTGCTCTTGGACTTTCCAGCCTCCAGAACCATGAGAGATAAATTTCCATTGTTTATAAGCTAACAAATGATCCATTGTTCATAAGCCATTCAGTCTATAGTCTTCTGTTATGTTATGGTTTCTTTGGATTTTTAGGGATATTCTGTTCTTCTGGTTACTTCTGGTCTCTCTGAATTTTTGTGTCTCTGCCCTGATTCACATCCAAACATGACTACAGACTATGACAACTGGGGCAGAATGGAGGACTGAACTGCGTTGTCAAGCACTGGTGCAGAGAGCAGACTTCACGTACAGATCAGGGGCAGGCAAAGGCCAGAACCTGGGACCTTCCATTGAGATATATACAAATCAGGGGGGTGGGGGGAGGTGAGATTCATTTGGGAATAAAAATACTTCTTTAACATTTAAATGAAAGAAAAACACAAAAGACAAAAGTACCCTGTTCAGAGACACTAGTGGTATTAACAGCTAACACCAAAATCCCACTGAGGAAGGGAACTATCTTTGGGGAAATATCTCCATCAGTTACTTGTGATAGAAAGAGATGCCTCAAAACCTCCTTTCAGGAAGAACCAGGGTAGCAAAGAACAAGCGCTCGGTTCTGCTGGAGGGAAAGAGGGCAGTTGTATTTCTCAAAGGGAAGAATGAAGAGAGGAAGGAGGAATCAGAAAACGGAAATGAGGAGACAGCGAGACAGTGTGAGTTTGGGGGTACCTAGGAGAAGCACGGAGGGGGCTCCCCCAGGGCACCACATGGGCTTTTAGGATCAAGGGTGTGTCTTAAAAAAGGTAGATTTGCCCCTTCCCTTAACCCACAAACCTTTGGTAAAAGTTGTGCTGCACACACCAGCCTTAGGTTTATAGTTGTTTTGAAGAAGGAAATCAAGGTCAAGGGTCTCTCCACGTTTGGATGTGAATCAGGGTGGAGACACAAAAACTCAGAGAGACCAGAAGTAACCAGAAGAACAGAATATCCCTAAAAATCCAAAGAAACCGTGGGAAAGCATCAAACAGCAGTGAGAGTCCTTCTCATCTAAGATCTTCGTCAGACCCCAGAGGACATCTGGGTTACCCACAAAATTTCAGAAACATCTGACTTGTGGAGGTGAAAGGAGAAGCTAGACTTTAAAGGGATGATTTCTGAATAACAGACGCTGATTGAAACGACCCCACTGCAGCAGTACTTGAACTGCTGGTCACAACCAACTAGTGGGTGATAAAATCAAAATGGCAGGTCACAATCAGTATTTTTAATGCAATAATGAAATGGAAAGGAATCGTTCAACACCACTTGCCATTGGGGAAATGTAAAGTAAAACCCTGATGAGATATAACTCCACGCCTATTAGAACAGTCAAAATTAAAAATAGTGACCATACCAAATACTGGTGAGGATGCTAGGGAACGGGACCTCTTATGCATTGCTGGTGGGAATGTAAAACGGCACAGCCACTCTGAGAAATTGTTTGGCAGTTCTTACAAAACTAAACATACCCTTACCACGTGACCCAGCAATCACTCCCTTGGGCATTATCCCAGAGAAGTGAAAATAGGTCCAGGCACGCCAAAAAATAATACATGAGTGTTCATAGCAGCATTATTTTTAATAGCTAAAAACTGGAAATAGTCAAAATAACCTTCAATAAGTGGTAGCTCCGTACCATGGAATGCTACTCCGAAAAAAAAATGAGTGAACTACTGATACATTCAACAACTTGAATGGACATCAAGGGCATTATGCTGAGTGGAAAAAGTCAATCTCAAAATACAAAATTTCAGAGATGGAGAACAGATTAGTGGTTGCCGGGGGTTATGGGTAGGGGTGGGGTGGTGGTAGGTGAGACTATACAGGGATAGCATGGGGCATTCCCTCTGGGGTGATGGAAGAGGTCTGTATCTGGATTGCGGTGGTTGTACAACTCTATACATGTGATAAAATTGCACAGAACTACACACACACACAATGCATATAACAATTGGTGAAATCTGGAAAAGGTCTATAAATTGCACCAATGTCTGTTTCTGGGTTTTGATACAGCATTATAGTTATATAAGACGTTACCACTGAGCATGCTGGGGACTTCAGTGTACTGTCTGCAACTTCCTGGGAGTCTATAATAATTTCAAAATAAAAAGGTTTTTAAAATGTAAAGGAATAGAGGAGAACAGAGAATTACAGTAACAGTGAGTACTGTTCCGGTGAAACTTTTGTTTCATTTGTGTGTGCTCATGGGCGTACTGGGTCACAGTGAAATGCACTTAATATACTTCTTGGGGGAGGAGGGGCAGGGGCCAAGGTCAAAAACAGTTGGAAAACCACTGCTTTACAGCAAGCTTGGAAGACTCAAAACCTAGAGGGGCCAAGGAGACCGTGAACAGAAACAAAACAGGCCCGGTTCATTAAGATTATCACCTCTCACCTTTCCCATATACCAGTCACAGTTCTAACTATGGCAGGTTTCATAATGATACAAATATTCTTTACTTCCACAGATAAATATGCTCTTTCTTAATTTTTCTTGAACTACATGGCACTCTCGATTTACCTCTTCCCCCCACTTTTGATAGTGAATTAATTTATCTATTGCTGAGCAACAAATTGCTCCAAATCTTAGCAATATAAAACAACAGACATTTGTTATCTCACAGTTTCTGGGAATGGCTTAGCTGGGTTGCAGTGGAATGGTCAGCCAGAGCTGCAGGCATCTGCAGACTCAACAGGGGCTGCAGGACCCACCTTCAAGCTCATGTATTGACAAGCTTCAGCTCCTTGCAGGCTGTTGGCCAGAGACTTGAGCTCCCCACCACCTGGGTCTCTCACAGGGCTGCTCACAAGACGGAGGTTGGCTTCCCCAGAACAAGAGAAAGACAGATAAAGCCAACCACCAAAATGGAAAGTATAGTCTTTTATAACTTAATCTCAGAAATTATATGCTATCTCCTCTGTCATATACCATTGGTCACACAGACTAACCCTGGTACAATAGAGGAGGGGACTTCACAAGGGTGGGAACAAGAGGCAGAGATCATTGGGGGCCATCTTGAAGGCTGACTTCCACAGATAGAGACCTGGGGACAAGAAATATTTCTCTACTATAAGTAAAACACCAGTACAAATATGATAAATGGCAACTGACACTGTTCTCCATGCTGGGAAGACATTAGGGAGTGGTGGAGAATCCAGCGAAGTGAAGAGAACATGCCCCATTTCAAGGGTGTAGCTGCTAATCATGGTGCTGTCATGGGAAAATATAGACCCAGTGTCCTCAGATCTTCGACTTGGAAATCTTCCAATGTTTGAGTATTGGCTGAAGTTTTTTGTTAAATTTAATGTGGGCAAACAAAATACATATGCCAGCTGGATCCAGGCTGCCACTCTGGAAACCCTGCAGCAAGGTCTAGGCAAGGGTGGTGCCATGGTTAAGAGCTCAGGGTTTGGAATCAGCCAGACCTGGATTCAAGTTCCAGCAATGCCAATTACCTGCTGTTATGACCTTGACCAAGCCTCAGATCCTACACTGCACAGCAGAGGTGATCAACATAGTGCCATTTCCCAGTGTTTCAGTGAGGATTAAGTGAGATAATATACATAAAGGCTTTAGCTCAGAGCCTGGAGCACAGGAACAGTGTGATAATGCTAGTTGCCAACATTATTGCATCATTTCCAGCACCAGAGATGAAAACTGATACAATAATATTCTTACTCACACTGTGGCTGTTAGCCACTTGGGTGACCTAAGCAACTGGCAAGGTTTATCAGGGGCTCACTCACACCTCCACAGAACAGAACAATCACTACTCAGGCTGAACCTCAAGGACCCGCTTTACTCTGTTCACAATTTTATCTTGGACAAGTCCTTAAACTCCATGACCTACAAAGAGAAACAGCATTTGGACCGTCTGGAAAATACAGAGGTCACATCCTGGGTTTTTTTTGCTTCCTGTACCTCCTTTGTGTGAGAGTCACACAGCTATTTTCAGGTTGGCAAAACTGGCACCCAAAAAGAGGCTGTTTCACAACTGGAATAGCAGCAAGAGAAGGAGCAGGGGGGTCATCTAGGGAGAAGCAGATTTGCTTGCTTATGAGCCTATGCTGGCCCAAGGTATGAACCATCTCTCTAACACTCCACATACTTGGCTATGCACTTCTCATTGAATGCCTCCAATGACAGGGAGCTCATCACCTCCCCCAGAGTAGCTCATTTCATTTTGATTAGCAATTGCATGCATTTATACAAAGAATATGAATTGAGCACTTACTATATATCAGGCATTGCATTTGGTGCCAGGGTTGCAGTGGTAAACGAGACAGATAAAGCCTCCCATTTCCTAATGTGGGAGAAAGACAATAAACAAAGAAATGAATATACAACATGTTTGGTAGAGACACATTCTATAAAGAAAAATGAAACAAAATAAGCGTTTTGAGAATGACAGGGTGTTCCTCTATATGGGTGGTCAAGGAGGGCTGTCTGGGGAGAGGACACCTAAGAAGGTTTCTCAGTGAAATACCAAGGTTCACAATGTGACTATCCAGACTAAGAGGAGCATCTCACGTGAGCATCTCAGCAAGGGCAAAGGACCTGAAGCAGGGATGAATGTCTTCCTTCTATTCAAGGAAATCTGGACTGAACTTTCTTTCTACTCATACAGCCACAAATATCACTGCCACTTGAGAGGGAAGCATGTCAGTCATGTCTCCACGTACTTGTGGAGTTTATGGTCAGACCGAGAAGGCTCGGCATCTGTCCCTATCAGGTTCATCTCATCGTATTTTGTCCATCTCTCCACTTGCTTTGGAGTTTGCAGAGTTGCATCCTTCCTAATATAATCAACATTCTATCTACATCCCCATGCAAGTCCCCGATTTTTTAAAAATGTCAAACTGGACAGACCTGAGGGATGGAGCACCATGGCCAATTTCTAAAGGCTTCCCCTTCCAGGGTGACAGTCATCAAGGCTCCCTTAGGTCCCTCTTATTCCCTCTGCCTTTTCCAGGGCATCCTTCTCAACAAAAAGGATGGAAATGTAATTGGATTTGAATGGCTCGGCTTTCTCTATACTATCTGTGAACAGTATACGACCTGTTTCAAGCAGCAGGCTGAAATGGTGTCGGATATAAATGACACCCTAAGTCACAAGTGCGTGCAAGACATGAGCATGAGCTTGTTGAGTGGCTTGGAGTCATTCATTTACTACACTAGACGTGTAACTTAAGAATCTCACCATTTTTTTATCTTCCACATCCAGAACACTGCCAGACACTTCACGCACATTCAATAAACAGTTATTGAATAAGTATAAGTGTGAGTATTATGGAAGATATTTAGGAAAAATCCCCAAATGGGACCTGAGCCCTGGCACCACTACGGTATGATTTTTCCATCTCATGGTGTTGCAGTTGTGTGTTGCTGCATAACAAAACATCCTAAAATTTAGCGACTTAAAATAACTACAACACATATTTTGCTCATGAATCGGCAATTTGACCAGGACAGCTTGTGTCTGCTCCACTCAGCATCAGCTGGGGCAGTTTGAAGCCACAATGTTTCAGCTGCTTGAATATTGCGTGCTCGAGGCTGGCTGGCAGCTCCAATCTCAGCTGAAGCTGTGGCTGGAATCCTTACACGTGGCCTTTCCTTGTAGATGCCCAGTTTTCTCAGAGTGCTGAGGCATCCTGAGAGACAGAGTCAGGCAGAGCCATGCGGCCTTTTATGACCTACCCTCATTAACCAAAAAGCATAGCTTTTGCCACATTTTATTCACTACAATGAAGTCATGAAGGACAGTCTATACTCAAGAAATGGTGGGAGAAGTGTCAAAGAATATGCAGATATTTTAAAACCACTATCCATGGGATTGGCTAAGACTAAGAGAGTTGACCACTGTTCTTCAGCAACAAATACCAGAGGCCACCCGCTTTCTTAGAGATGGGCCACAGAGCTCCATCAAGAATAAAGAACGTCTACAAGTCTGCTTAAAGCTCCTTTGTTTGGGAATCCTGCATGCTTGATACGTTTGAAATACGTCTCCATAGCCATACCTAGAAGAAACAGATTCCTTTGTTTCCTAAATAAAAGGAAGTCGGAATTGGAGTTCACTATGGATCCAACTGGGACAACTGAATATTCCCACGCTCAGGCCAAAGGTGGGGCGGAGGAAGGTAACACCTAAATAACGCTTGGCATTGTATCTGAAAAGGAATCAGGTCCCAGCGAGACCCTCCGGAGTCAATGGCTCTGGACGTCTGGATGTTCTCCTGCTCAAGTTTGGCAGACCCTTCAACAGCACGTGGCAGAGACTGCTCCAAGTCCACCCAACTCTGCTTTCTCTTTCTCCCGGGCACCTCCTCTCCTTTTCTTTTCCTCCTTCAGCTTCACTCCATTTCCCAGCGTCCCTCGCAGTTAGGTGAGACCATGTGACTGAGTCCTAGCCAGAGAGAGAGGGCAGAAGTAATAGAGACTACTTCCAAGCCTGGTCCATAAAAACTCCAGCGCAGTCCTCTCTCTCCTCCTCTTTTCCCATCCACTGGCTGGCTGGAGTAAACTTCCAGGATCTAGAGGAAGGCAGAGTGACAAGAGAGAGGGGCCTGGGTGCATGAGTCACTACACGGATGAGAACTGCCTGAGCAGAAACATCAGCATATCATGCTGCTTCATGAACGGGAAATAAACTTTTATTGCAGTAAGCCACTCTGGAGACTGTTGGCCACAGTTGTTTTCCTACTCTGACTGTGAAGTTGGATTTTTATTGAGGAAACATTCATTTCCCTTCCTCTCCCACCATGGGTGGAATATCCTTCCCCACTCCATTGATGGTCTGTTTGGCCAATGGGCTGTTAACAGACCTGAGGCGACGTGACATGCTTTCACACACACATGAACACTTCTACCCTCTCTTATGCTACAGCCCTCTTGCTCTTTTGCCATCACCTTGAGAAGAACAAGCTCCAGCTAGATCCTGGTCCAGAGGATGAGACACCTGTGGAGCAGACCTAGATCCAACAGCTGGGAGCCAAGCCCAGCCTAGCCCAACCCAGCAGCAGCTCAGTTGTAGACAAATGAGTGAGAATAAATGATTATTATTTCAGGCCATTGAGTTCTGGGGTAGTTTGCCACACAGCACATTGTGGCAACAGTCAACTGATACACCAATAAAGTGTGAGTGTGGCATCTAATGGGGCTGCCATATTAAGCTTCCACTTCATGCCTGTTCTCTACCTCATGTAAGGTTTATGCCGACATTCTTTTACAAGTGAAGAAACTGAGGTGCATGAAGAGACTTGCCCAGGGTCACACAAGGAGTTTGGTATATCAAATTCATAAGCCTCAGCTTTTTTCCTTCTGTTCCAAACACACTGAGGGAATGTGAGAAAAGCAGATAAAATCAGAAAGTAAGGGGACACCAAATCCCGTTTAATTTAACAGAGCTTGCTGACACTCCTTGACGCTTGAAAAATGAAAGTTTTGGACAAACAAAATAATGACCAGCTTCAGCCCCCGGGTTGTTAATTTATGGAACTTATTATCTAAAGATTTGCACAGGCTGAAAATACAACTTTTCTGAGAAGGATCCAAACAACTGCATTATACCACTCCTATAATGGGTTAACATAGAAAGCAAGAAAGTTTGTAGGGATACCTTCAAGGTTAACTTCAAGGAGGATGAGGCACCCTGCGACACAGCGCTCCTGGGAGCCCTGTGAGAGAAGGAACACAGCGAGCCCTCCGGGGACGGCCTGCTCCCACCACCGCCCTTCAGACAAAGCTTGTAACAAGCATTTAAGGAGCACCCGCCACGGGGCCTGTAGGAGCTGCTCAGACGACGAGAGGGCAACTGGCCCCCAATCTGAGCAAAGAGCAGCGGAAACCTGTGTCGTCGTCGTCCCCCGCCCCCACGATCTCTTCATTTCTAGGAACCCGGCTCGGATTCTTTCAGGGCGAAACCACGCAAGGGCTCAGCCTCCCGAGGAGAGGAAAAGGAGGGGGCGGCGGGGAAGGGGGGTGGGTCTGCTGGGCAAAGGCAGAGACTCGGGCACGGCACAGGGGTGGGGTGTCCCCTGCGGGCAGGGTTTGCTGCAGAGCGCGCCTGCACGCCCGCACATCACCCACACCCACAACTACACACGACACACACACACACACACACACACACAAAACCCATACACCCCCCCACCCCCGCCGGCCCCCCATGCCCACTCTGCAGGCAAGCAGCAGATTCGGGGAGAGGGGAGTGCAGCCCCAAAAGAAAATCGAGGGCCTGGCGCCCAGCCAGGCGGCTCCTGCAGCGCCCACGCCAGGGGTACCGGGCACGCGGGACGCAGCGGGCCGGGACGCTGGAGGAGCCGCGCGCAGCCGGGAGAGCAGACCAGGAGCAGCCGGGCGGAGGGCGCGGCGGGGAGGCTAGGCGCCCGCGCTGCCCCCGCCCCTCAGCTGCCGGCGCCGCCCCCGCTGCGGCGGGCGAGGGGCGGGACGGGGCGGGGCGCGGCGTATATAAGGCGCGGGGCGGGCGCCGCTCTTTTGTCTCTTGCTGCAGCAACGCGAGCGGGAGCGGCAGAACCCCTGGCCGGAGAGAGACGCCTCGGTGAGCGCTGCGCTGGGGCCGGGGCCCCGCTGGGGTGGGATCGGAGCGCGGCCCGCGGCTGGCGCGCCACCCCCGCAACAGGCGCCCTTCCCCGACGGGACGCCGGGCCGGCCGACCACGCCCTGGGGTGCGGAGGGGGGTGCGGGACGCGCCCAGATCTCCGGCCGTGGGGCTGCCGGGCACGCCCCGGCTGGAGTGCCACGTCGAGAGGCGTCGGCGGAGAGCGCGGAGGGGGGCGCTGGCCCCCGGCCCCAGGCCTACCGCCTTGGTTTGTCCGCTAGGATTGTTTTAAGAAAATGGCAGACAAGCCTGACATGGGGGAAATCGCCAGCTTCGATAAGGCCAAGCTGAAGAAAACGGAGACGCAGGAAAAGAACACCCTGCCGACCAAAGAGAGTGAGTGCGCCCCCGCCTCCCGCTCCGCGGGCCCCCAGCTTAGCCCCCTACCCCGCCCTTCCGGGACCCCAACCCCCCACCCGGCCTATGCCCCCCATCTGGGTGGCAACAGCCCCCTTTCTGTTACACAAAGCGCCCAGCCCCAAGTCTCTTTCTTAATCTCCTGACCTCGTGGGTGCCTCGCCCACACCGGGTTTGTAAGCGCCTCGGTTTGGGGGGTTGCAAGATGTCCTCATCCCCCAGCGCCCGCTTCCTGCTCTCCACAGCCATTGAGCAGGAGAAGCGGAGTGAAATTTCCTAAGAACCTGGAGGATTTCCCACCCCCGTCATCTTGGAGACCCCAGTCGTGATGTGGAAGAAGAGCCACCTGCAAGATGGACACGAGCGACAAGCTGCACTGTGAACCCGGGCACTCCGTGCCGATGCCACCGGCCTGTGGGTCTCTAAGGGGACCCTCCCCCAATCGGACTGCCAAATTCTTCGGTTTGCCCTGGGATATTATAGAAAATTATTTGTATGATTAATGAAAATAAAACACACCTCGTGGCATGGCTGGCGTGGTCTGAGTGTCTTCGTTGAGTATGCGGGGGCAGTGCCGCTGCAGCAAAGCCCCGCGCGCGCAGTCGGAGTCCCTGCCGCAGAGCGGGGGAGGGGTCGCAGAATGGGCTGGCTTGGAGGGACTATGTTTAATTTTGATTTTACCTTCTCCATAAGATCTCGTGGGTTGTTCGCTGCTTAGCTGTTGCTTATAATGCAAGACGTGTAAAATGTAACCCCGCTTTTTATTCGTGGAGCTGTTTTGGGAAGTGCTTTTTCAGAAGAGCAGGATTTGTTTTCAGTAACCTCCTACAGTCTCGCTCTTAGCCGCCCCCCCCCCACACACACCCCCCCAGCCTCCTCATGGCTCTGCTTCACGCCGGAGAGAACAGTGAGTTAAAGTCTGAGAAGAAAGGGGTGGAAGACTGAATCTGGAACGTTGGAAATTGGAGAGGGCGCAAAGTCTCCAAGAGGTTTTCTCTGGGAGCTTAAAAGAGGAGGCATTGGAACAGAAACAAAGGCGAGATGTGAAGCGAAAACCGAGCGGGAGCATCTGAACTAGCAGAGTTGTGGGGGACAGCCTTGCTTTTTGTCTTTACCCCTAGCTCAGAACCTTCCACAAAAACGTTAGCCATTAGAGGGAGCGCTGGGCTGAACGGCCTCCTGTGCTGTGATCAGCAGGAAGGGTTGGAGTGTGGAGGGAGGGCTGGCGCCAGCCCCACTGGGTCACACCCTCAGGACCCACAGGAAGGAGGGGACCAGCCTGGAGGGGCCTCGGGGAGAGAGGTGCCTGGGGCTGCAGGGTTTTCTGAAGCAGAAGAAAGGGGCTTGTGATCCCAAGGGTGGGATTTTCTTTTAAGGAGAGGGAATAATGCTTTGTCGTAAATTTCTGTCTGACTGTAAGGGTCTGGGTCCTGGGTGAGGGCAGGTAATTCAAATGAGATGTGGTCTGTGTCCACAGGAACTTAAAATCCAGGGGTGAGACAGGCAGCCAGAGCAGGCCACAGTTAGGGACATCTAGGCTGAAGGAGCCACTGCTTGTGGTACATAAAAGAGTGACTTGAGAGGCCTGTGCTGTGGAGGCTGAGTGGCTTGGGGAGGAGAAATAAGGAAAGGAAACACATAAAGAGATCATGGGGGTGAGGGACATAACGTTTACTGAGCACCCACCATGGGCCAGCCACTGTGCTGGAGCTTTAACTCTCAGAAACTCTCTTAAGGCAGGATGATGATTAGCCCCTTTTACAGATGGGGAAACTAAAGTTCGAAGAGACTAGGGATTTGCTAAAGTCACACACGCAGTGAGTAGTGGAGCCAGAATTGAGGGCCAAGGGTGTGCTTTGGAGGATCCTATAACCGAATGTTTGGGACATCTGCTGTGTTAAACGTTTCATGAGTGTTCACTATATACATTCAAGCATATTGATAATTGCCCCTATTGGGGTTTATTGTTGGGAGGTTAAGGAAAAGGAAACAGAAGAAATCACTAGTACCTGCCAGCAGTAACACAGCACCTCTCCTGGGAGGAAGGGCTTTGGAGAAAAATAAAGCAGGATGGGGGGATAAAAGTGCTGGGGGTGGGAGAGGCCTTGGGAGTGCCACTGCGGTTCCCTGCAGGATGGTCAAGGAGAGGCAGCTCTGGAGCAAAGACGTAAAGGATGTGAGGGAGAGAACACTGGATAGCTGGAGGGAGCAGCAAGTGCAAGGGCCTTGAGGTAGAAGTGTGCTGGAGCCTCTGAGGGAGAATAAAAAGCTGGAGGGGAGTGAGCAAGGAGGAGGGAGATGAGGTGCCGGAGGGCAGGAGATGGAGGAGGCAGACCTGTTACAAGGCCGGCTGTTGGGGGCTTCCTCCTTCCCCCATCCCTATGGCGTTCCATAGGCACCCCTCGTGGGCATGTGGTATCCTGTCTGGGCACAACACCCCTAAGGCCTCTCCTGGACCCAACTTTGTCTCTGGGGCTCTATCTGAGACAGAAATCCCTCAGATCCCACAGGCTTCTCGGCCCCAGTGGGCTCACCCTGGAGAACAGCTCTAGAGCCCCATTGCCTGGGACCCCCTTACTCTCAGAAGATTCCCATGACTTTCTCGCCCTCCCCAGGAGAACCTCTCTACTCTGAGGTTGTGGGGTGGCCATGAGAGCCTCACTCTTCCTAAAAATATAAGACAAAAGTCAGGAGGAGACTTAAGGGCACGTTTACGTTTCCACTCTAAGACAATGGGCTGACTGACTGGGGCCGGGGTACAGTGGGGAAAGGAGCCGAGTTCGGGGAGGGGGTGAGTTTTCAGTTCAGAAATCTATCACACCACGTTGGCTTGTATGGTAAGGCTGGCCTCCCCCAACCCACCCCGGCTGTCGAGCTGCATGAAGGTGAGGTTATCTAGATGTGAGAGGGCTGAACGTGGAAACCCCCAAAGGACCGGCCCAAAAGGCCTTCCTAGGCCCCGCCCCCTCCCTGTGACCGATCTCAGGGGGTCACCCGGGAATCACAGTGGAGACAGCATCCACACCCAGAATTGGAGCCTCAGAGAGCATCGAAGCACCCCAGGCTCCCTCTTCTCCTCCCTCTGCCCCTCCTTATCCCACCATTTCTATTCCTTGCCACCTGGGAATACTGACACCCTAGAGAGAATTATACTGAATTACTGATTTCTGCTCTTTTCCTCCTAGATAAGAATTCAGGAAGCAGTTGTCAGTCCAATCACAAAATGACTGAAGCTTGCTCTGAAACTGAAGTAAAGATGTAATGTTTCTTTTAAGCATACCTGAATTTCCAGTGTCGTTTTCTTACTTCCTTCCTAAGACAAGCTTTAACAGTTAGACCTCCGGGTTATGAATAGAGCTCAGAGCTTGGGACTTTTCATTGTCTTTCTTAGGGTGCAGCAGGGGGCTCAGAACTGCAGGAGGTCCCCCTACCTGCGCTCCACCTCCTATTCCTGGTATGTCCCACATGCTGCTCAGGTGCTGGGAAAACAGACAGAGGACTCCTCAGGGAGTACCTGGTCTAGATTAGAAGGAGGACCTAATCTCTTTTCCCAACACTTCCCAATCCCCCAGATGGGTCTCCCAGCCTTCTCTCACCCTCAGGCAACACCTCTCCTCAGACAATATTAGCTGCCTCAGTCCCCATGCCTTCCCCCACCTTCTCCTGTCATCTCACAGAAACACACTCCTATCTTTCTCTTCTCTACCCTACCACACTACTCACCCCACATGTAAAGGAAAAACTGTTCTATTTCTCATTTAACACAACACCCTACTCACAGAATACTCTCCTTCAGGTCACCAAATGTGTGGGTTTTCCACACCAAGCAATTATCTGATTCTCTGAAGACCAGCTGGGTGTCCTACAATTCAATTCAATCCTGACACCATCTACCTGGAGTTAGCATCACTTCCCACGGGTTAAGGGCTCAGTTCCACCAGACTGCCCCTTCAGACACCAATCACAAGTCCAGCTTGATAGTGTGCACCTACTAAAGCTGCAAATACGCAACCTGTGACCCCACAACACCATGCCCAATTGTATGTCCCAGAGAAACGAGGACATGTGTCCACAAAAGGACGTGTTCGAGAATGTTCCTGGCAGCTTTATTGATATTAGCCAAAAAGCAAAAACAACCCAAATGTCCATCAACAGAATGGATAGACAGTTTTGAGATATCCTCACTGTTACTCAATCATTGAGCTACTCAACAATAGAAACGAATTAAATACTGATGTCTAATATTGTATAATTCCATTTAGATGACATTCTAGAAAAAGCAAAAATTATTATTTTTTTTTTTTTGAGGAAGATTAGCCCTGAGCTAACATCTGTTGCCAATCCTCCTCTTTTTGCTGAGGAAGACTGGCCCTGAGCTAACATCGGTGCCCATCTTCCTCTACTTTATACGTGGGATGCCTACCACAGCATCGCTTTTGCCAAGCGGTGCCATGTCCGCACCTGGGATCCGAACCAGCAAACCCTGGGCCACCGAAGTGGAGCGTGTGAACTTAACCGCTGTGCCACCAGGCTGGCCCCGGAAAAATTGTTTTTGATGATAAAAGTCAACAAAACTTTCTGGGGTGATGGAAATGTTGTATACCTTGATCAGAGTGGTAGTTATGTGAGTGTGTCCTTGTGTAAAAAATCGAGATGTACACTTACAATTAACACTCATATGCACTTCACTGTATGTATCTTTCACTTCAATAGCAAAAATTTTTTTTACCCCTATGAAGAGCTAAGGATTCTCAGCTTTTAAGGCGTGTACTATTAACTCAGAGGAAATTGCTGCAGATTGCATCAGCAGAGCCTACATCTACTTCTAAAGGGCGGTAGGAAAGCACGAAGTTTCCCTGGCCCTCTCTTTCTTCTCTGCCTTTGGATGTTTTCCCCACTTTGAATGACCCTCCACCTGTTTTCTAATTAGTCAAATTTCAGGCATCCTACAAGGACCGACCAATCACCGCCTTCTCCTATCAACCCTCCTGGATTTCCCAGCCAGAGACAATCTCTCTCTCCTCTCAACTCCTATCTGCACCTCCTATCAGTACCTGGACACGTACATCACCTTCTCAGTCAGACTGAGTGGAGAAGGATTTTTATGAATTGATATTGGTGACTGTCACAGTAGCCAGCACATAATAGACACTCAGTAAACACTTACTGAATTGTAACTGAAATATCCCCCGGCCTCGCTTGTTCCATCTTGGCTCTGCTAAAGCCAAGCTGCTGGCAGGCCCCCACTGTCTGATTGTTGGCTCCGTTGTGCATCAACAGGGCCCAAGCATAGTGGACACACAGGAGTTAACATGGTCCAGGGAAGCCAAACATCTTCATTTTCCTCCTGCAGCCCAGTCCAGGATGCAACCCTATTACAATGAGGGGAAGTACAGTTAATTCACAGTTGAGGCTATTGATGGAAAGCTGTATATTACCCAGATGGCACTTGTGAGTCTCAACCTGTTACAAGATTTCAGATATTGGACTGCTGATTTCTGTGAAATTCAGAGGCTGTGTTCTCATTCAGTT